GTACGCTTGAATAAATATTACCTAGGGTAGATGAGGGTTAACGTGGTAGAACATGGTTAACCTAGGGTAGATGGGGGTAAAGGTGGTAAAACATGGGTAACCAACGGTAGATGGATGTAAAAGTGGTAGAACTTGGCTAAACTAGGATAGATGGGGGTAAACGTAGTAAAACATGATTAACCAAGGGTAGACGAGGGTAAACGTGGTACAACATGGGTTACCTAGGGTAGATGAGGGTGTATTGGCCACCGTAACGATTACAAAAGCTGACGTTTCGAGCGTTAGCCCTTCGTCGGAGCGAAGGGCGACGAAGGGCTAACGCTCGAAACGTCAGCTTTTGTAATCGTTACGGTGGCCAATACACCCTCATCTACCCTAGGTAACCCATGTTGTACCACGTTTACCCTCGTCTACCCTTGGTTAATCATGTTTTACTACGTTTACCCCCATCTATCCTAGTTTAGCCAAGTTCTACCACTTTTACATCCATCTACCGTTGGTTACCCATGTTTTACCACCTTTACCCCCATCTACCCTAGGTTAACCATGTTCTACCACGTTAACCCTCATCTACCCTAGGTAATATTTATTCAAGCGTACAGCACGTCACAAATTTCAATAATTCGCAACGGTACATTGGCTAAATGATACGTTATACCATTCAGAATCGAAAAGTTCTTGTTTTACCGATCTGCCTAACTTCGCGGCCGTGAAACCATTCCAATTTTTTTTTATGATTTTCCGCGAACGGGCACTATGGGCCGATAGTGTCTCCACGGATTAACACTATCGCGTCTCGTGATCAATTTAAACCAGTAAGAATCGGATAAAATTTAGTGGTGAACCTTAATTCCCCTCAGCGGGTAATAACGATGTTGCTATTCTCGTATAACACGATAGGTTTTTAATTAAACGCAACATCAAATTAAGAAATATCTTGGCCATCTCCACCTGCATAAACGTTCAGTATCTTCATTCCTTATCAACAACAACAACAACAATTATTATTTGTACTCCTTGTATTTGTCAAGTTAAAAAACAATATTGAAAATAAAAAGAATATTGGCTGTCTGGAATAACCACAGGGGCTAGCGGAGCCTGGTACTCAGTAGACAACAACATTGAATGAAAATAAATTACTGGTCAGCAATAACATTATATACATATTATAAAAAATAATTTATATCAAGGCCTAGAAAGGTCGACAGAATTTTACAAAAACATAATTAACCAGATAATTTGGGAAAAGACGGAATTGCAATCTAAGATGAAATAAATACATATCTCTGATAATCATTCAAAACGAGATTGTATTTTACTGATTCCTTAAATTGTGAAAGAGTTTTCACTTATAGACTGACCTCCATACTGTAGGACCTTTAAATCTTATATGGAGCATGCCATGATTTGCTCTCGCTTCAGGTAAAGTGTAAGTACCTGATAGCAGTCTTTTTGCGAACTCTTTTCGAGAGAAGGTCCTCAGCCGGAGTAAGCGCATCTTTTAACTTGTTCTTTCCCCTTCCTGATACAACAGGTTTGTGTCAGAAGGAAAAAAAGGAAACGGCAAATATGACATTTTACAACGTAGGTTTTGAAAGATTATACCGAAGTTCTAAAATCTTTGTTACACGTTTATAGTCTCGGAGAAATAAATTTATGGATGAACTACTAAACATTCAAGGCATTTTAACGCCCTTTGAAACACCCCATGCACACAATAGAATTCCAGGCATTCGAACTACATGTGCCAAACTATAATAACACAAACATTGTCAGAACCAAAGGATAGTTGCACTAAAATGCCCTCCAGGTTCCAGGACTTTTTTCCATCAATCAGAGAAATAGCAATTTTTAGACGACATATTCTCGTCAATCGACCACTGACGTTCACACTTTCAAATGCATCCTTCTCTCCAGCTATGTGACCAGAGTGTTGCCGTTTTGCAAAATTGCGAATGAGCCAGCGTTTGATCATCTAGATTTTAAAACAACAATCTAAAAATTTTTTCGGAAACCTCGAAGAGTTTTTGCATACCTTTGTCCTCTTTCGTCTTTGATACTTGCCTTCTATCAGTTGCTCAAGAAAAGAAGAAAGATATCATGTAACAAAAAATCTACTTCTAGCTTCTCATACAACAGAATCATTAGGCAATGATGAAAATGTAAAACCGACTGGTAGTTAACATGTACGGGTGAAACTTCCAGCAAACGTTCCACGTTTGGACACCCTCTATGCGTGACCGGAGTATACTCAATGAAAAATGAATCTAGTTATTTTTATCTTTTCGTATACTTTCTGCCTTTGAACGTCCACATTCTAATGGCAAACTATTCTTCAGCAATAAATTATAACCTGAAGTTTCCATCCTCCATAGTTAAATATTATGGAATTTTACCTGAAACTTTTGAAGACATCGGGTTCTCCGCTTTCTACGAAGCATTAACATGATGCTGGCATGCTGCCATAGAAATAACACTGCACATCGTTTGTGTAGAGATGGACTTTGAGGACAGCGATGATTAAATCACTGGGATCGTTCCTCACAATAAAGTTGTAAAAAAAATGGTTTCTTCCCCGTTTTTCCATATAATTCGTTTTCCGATTTACAGTAGTTTTATAATAACAAAAATGCAGGGTATAAAAAAGTATAAAAAAACAGATTATAAAACAGGAAGCGTATTTTATGGGTGTACCATAACAAAAAAGAATACCTCTTGTTTCTCTTCAGTATCACTCACAAAATATCGCGTCTGAAAAAGATTAAGAGATGTGTAACAATCAAAAGTAAACAGCATCTAGAGATCGTGGAGCCGACAATAGATCTTCACCAGTGTAATGGTGAACACCTTGCTTTGTTACCGTGTGAACAACATTATTGTTGCTTCTATATTTATATTAAATATGGTAAATTTTAATTGAAGAATCCTTCAAATACTAAGGGGCGACGGAGATCAACTTCATCAACATTCCTAAGAATACTTTGCTCAGCATCTGTTGATACATCACCTGAAGAAAAAGGTGACATAGCTAATAAGTGGCATGAAAAAAGTGTATTGTGAGGTTCACCACATTACTTCAATCTCTCATTACTCAATAGCTAGATTGTTCGCTAGCTTTTTTTTGAAGTTTCAACGTGAGGAAGAAAATATAAAATTGTCATATTTAGACAATGCAGGCGAGCATGCTTTACAACCTTCACCATGGTTTTTTAAGTGAGCCATTCATGACCCAAAGATTGTATGATTCTAGGGCACCCCGCAATGAATACGAATATTGGAAAAGGCTTGCGTAAAATAGGGTCAAAACTTCATCCTGTGAGTAAAAAGATATCATACAAGTAACGTAAACGTGGTAGAACATGGGTTACCTAGGGTAGATGAGGGTGAACGGGGTAGAACATGGCTAACCTAGGGTAGATAGGGGTGAACGTGGTAGAACATGTGTTACCTAGGGTAGATGGGGTTGAACGTGGTAGAACATGTGTTACCTTGGGTAGATGAGGGTGAACGTGGTAGAACATGGCTAACCTAGGGTAGATGGGGGTAAACGTGGTAGAATATGGGTTAGCTAGGGTAGATGAGGGTGAATGTGGTAGAACACGACTAAACCTAAGGTAGATGAGGGTTAAGGTGGTAGAACATGGTTAACTAGGGTAGATGGGGGTAAACGTGGTAGAACATGGCTAACCTAGGGTAGATGAGGGTTAACGTGGTAGAACATGGCTAACCTAGGGTAGATGGCGGTAAACGTGGTAGAACATGGTTAACTCAAAGAAGGTGAAGGTAACTGAGAGAACAAGGTTAGCTAGGACATATCGTGCAACATACATGAATGTTATATTACGTAGTATTAATGGTATTAGTTATTGGGACGTGGTATGGACCTAACATGAACGCTTTACCCCAGTCAGAGATAGCTCGATAGCGTACTCTCCCATTAATCAGTGGAAAGAATAAGACTAGGGGGGAACTGTGATGCAAAAAAATATAAGCATACATGTTCGGATTCCGCAATTTCCAGTTACATTTTGTTGTTGAAAAATTTAACTAAAAATCTGAAAAATGTAACATTCTATGTTTAAAAAAATCGGAAAAAAGTGAGCATTTTTACGTAACCGACGTGTACATTTTTTTAAAAAAAATAGCATTATATTAACACTCTTTTTGCAAAAAACAAGCACTGCTTTGAGCATTTAATGCTTTTTTTACCAGCTCAATCGGTAAAAGCCCAGTTTTGCCAATACTCCACAATCAACGATAAAAGAAGGAAAAAATAGTATGCTGTAAACTTTGTAGTCTTAAGAGAAAATTTTTCGTAATGAAAAAATGAGAGGTAATAAATTACACGTTTATATCTTGTTTTTGAAACACACAACTATGTGTTTTCATTTAATTATTTTAAGAAAACTTTGGAATAAAGTGGATTTGTTGCATTTCTTTCTTGTTGACCAACGGATTCTAATTGAAAATTGTACTTTTTGGACTTATTTGCTTCAAAGTGCATAACTTTAAAATAGGGGCATAATTTGGAAAAAAGAGCAGAATTTTAGCATAATTTCGCCCCAAAAAAGCAGTGCTACTAGCATAATATGCTACTTTTACTAGCATAATCTATAAAGGCCTAGTCCTTTCCCGGGTACGTCTCGTGTGCCACTTCTTTGTTCTTTGCACATTTTGACGTCCTCAATGAACTAAAGCAAGGAAACAAAGGATCTACAAAACATGTTTCATATAGTAAAAAAGCAAAGTATTTGGTACTGCTGACGTCATCTATCTGTCTGTTCTCTAGTAAATCATAGGTGAAAACTTATCAAAATGCGTCAAGAGAATATAAATTGTATATTCTCTTGAATGCATTTATTAAACTCCGAGACTGGAAGAAGTTGTGATCAACTGAATTGCGTGACATATTTTACCTCGCGTGATCTTAAATCGCGTGTAACCGCTGGCAACTCTAAATAATACCCACAAGTGATGAGCCGGGATGGCACTCAGCCGTGATCATCGTGCAAAATTTGCCTTGGAGTGTAACCGCACCTTATGTTTGTTTTTGTTGATGTCACATGACATCTGCGGCATATGAAATCCCTATGGTTGAAACAGGTTTCCAAAATAGTTAGGAAGGTTGCATGCAAGAGTTGAGGGTGAGTCAGTCACGAATTTTTGTTCTTCGAGTGGTGGGTTTTAGATGTTAAACTATTTCATCGAATGTTTTCGGCGTACCTTTCAAACAATTGATCTACGTTTTTCCAATGTCAATGTCGGGTTACTTGAAATCTAGCGAATGAGTGTGCTAACGGACGCTGAGCTCAAATGGCTGATAGTAGTGGATAAATCCTCTACTATTTTTGTCTATTTTCTCTCAAGAAATAAAATAAAAATGAAAGACGATCACGCACGATGGGAGAAAATATTCGTTACCTCCTTTCATTGATTAGTTGTTGCCTGAGTTGTGAATAACCTTTTGTGGTCACGAGAGACAGATCAGATTTATATTCAGCACAAATATTCTACATGTACTGTGCTTGTGGTAAATTCAGTTGTGTTCAATCTTAAACTTGCTAAGGGCTAAGTAATAACTATTAAATGGCTGAATCCCAGATTGTGGATGTACTAATGAAAGGTTTAAATAATATGCTAAAATTAAATAAATTGAGTGTGTATCAAACAAAGAGCTCATCGTTAAGATCGTCAGAAATGTATTCAACGTTTCAAAAGTCTCTTCACATCCATCGAAACAGGGCAAGATCAATTATTCTGGAATTATCGATATCATTTTCAAAAGTAAAGAATAATGCAAAAGTATAATTATATCACTGCAATGCATATATCAAACCTTCAAAATAATAAAAACAAAAATGTATTCAATGTGTAAGGCTCCCTGTCATAAGCTTTGACAGGTGGATTAAAGGTCTTTGCACTTATGCAGTCAAATGTTTGTGGGACAATTGTGATGAAAATATTGAAACTGGGTTCTAGGATGGATGACCCCGAAATGCTCAGTGAGAAGATGACAGTTGCTGGGAGTATTGTGTACTTGACTGATGATGCAGAACCAGATGTAATGAAGAAAGAAAGAGACGAAAACGAACCAATGCTTAAAGTGGAAGACAGAAGAAAAAGTGATCCTGGAATTCTACCATCACCAATGGCTCATGCTTCATTCTTCTCCAAATATATTACAATGTGGTGAGAACTTTTATGGCTGGAGATTTGTCACATATGGACCTTGAATCCAGTCAAACCTTTGTTTACAATGATTACTCCCCAGAGAAAAGCTAGAAGATCGTTTTCAAGAGAATACGTCTGTTAAGTAGAGGTTTATGGGAAAAAGTGGGATCATGTTTAATCTGGTTGATGTCAGTAAACACTGCTGGTTGGCACTGTCGAGTAGCAACCGACACTCGGTCGATGTATCGGTTGATATCGGCAGAGTGCTGGTCAAGTATTGGTCGAGCATCAGTGGATGTTTTGGCCAATACTCAGCCAACACTCAGCCAATATTCAACAGATATGTCAGCCAAGTGTTGGCCACTACTCGGCCAACATCTTGGTTGAGTGTCAGCCAGTAATGTTGATGATCTATTGGTAAACTATCAGTGAGCTATCGGTCAACTATCTGTGAACTATCGGTGAGCTAATTTGTTCTAGCAAGCTGATAATTCCCTCGATTATAAAACTTGATAAAACTAGATAAAACTCTTTTATATCAAAGCCCCAAAGTAAGATATCTTAAGATATTCTCAGGCAATTAATGACCGAGATATATCGTATGGGACTCAACCAATATTTGGTTGGCCAAGTATCGACCCAGTATTGGTAAGGTAATGGCAGACTATTGGTAAAGTAACAGTATGGTATCGACTGAGTGTGGACAAGACTAAATTGGCCAAAGTATTGGCCAATATTTGACTAGTACTTGATTGGGATACTCGCCTGAGACTCAATCGATACATTGACCAAGTGTTGGTGGAGTAGTGGTCAACATGTCAACCGATATGTCCACCAATAGTGTTGAGCGACACTTCCTACAGTAAACACCATCCAAAAAGTGCTATTATAGCAGTGCAATTATATCAAATGTATTTGAAATTCATGCCTGCTCAACTGATGCTAGCAAAGCAAGCATCTCTTTCATCACCAGCAGAGATGGCACATGAAGCCAAATATTAATCAGCTGTGAAAGTATGGAATCTGGAGTTTTGTAGCTCAATAAAGCAAGTTAATAAGGCTATAATTTTCTATGTGCTTGATACTAATAAAGGTTGAGGTTACCTTAAAGGACTGAAAATACCTATGCCCATGACATTAGCAACTTTAATAGACAACTGTTTTATAGCCGGGAATGTTAATAGACAACTGTTTTATAGCAAATAGAATTTGCGATTTGGGATTAAGTCCACAGTGGTTGTGGTGTTAGTGTAACGGCAGGCGAACATCAAGGCCGAATGTATTGCTGTGAAAATCGCGACCGGAGAAAAATACCAGAACGGGTGGAACTTTACAGAGACCGAAGCGACATTCACATCACATTTATTAATTGATCTCGCAAACTGAAATAAACAATGAAGGACTAGCGTAAGGCAGTTGCACAAACAAACGTTACAAGGCACTAGCGATCGACAAATGAAAACCCTCAGAGGCAACAAAATAGAACTAAACAGGCTAAATGCAAACAACCAGAAACGAGCGAAACTATAGAACTAATATAAAGAAATTGACTCAGATATCCACGCGGCCACGAGGTCGCGGTACGTAAAATCACAGTGATCACATATAAAATCAATAATATATTAACTGAACTGCGAACTGGGCTAACCACAAGCAATAAGGATAAATTACGATGAAACGAACTTACATATCTGTCCCGCGAGACAGTAGGCCTTTATAATCTCTTTTTGTAGACCACAGCAAAAAAATGTCTACTCCACACACACGCTCCACAGGTACTAAATCAATCACATCCAAAAATAGCTAAAGAACCTAACTGTAACGTAAAGCACTGTCACACAAGTGACACGTGTAACTGTAACTTAAAGTGCCGTCATGCAAATGACGCGCATCAACAGTTAGTGTGAGGGAGGTTTGTTCATGAAGGTCTGGGGATCTAGATGTTTTTTTGTCCAATCATTCTCTTTTCTTTGGTATATTTTTGTTTCTTAAAAGGTGGTTGAACAGCCTCCTCATAAAGGGATCAAAGCAACCCCTTGTAGCAGAGGATCTATATGCCATTTTGGATGGAGAACAAACTGAGACAGTCACAGATGCTTTAGAAAGGTACACAGCCTCACAGTGTTATTATAGACAGGCAATTAGTCATCACTCTAACTACTTTGAAAGGATACACACCCCTCACAAGATAATAGATACTGAAATCAGCATTGTCAACTGTATCACTGAAAAATTATAACCCTATCCTGTATCATGAATTAAAGCAATTTGTAACTCTGAGTTCCTGTGGGTGATCCACTGTTAAGTGCTGTATGCACTATGTTATCAAGTACATAAGAGGTGTATAGCAAGCTGTTCAGAAAGTTTGGTCAAAAAAATTTTTTGTCTTTTTGAAGATGGTTTTATCATCCATAAATGGTATAGTGCCACACTCTTTTAACTTTTGTTTCAATGAGAAAAATCATCTACAATTTTTAAAGTGTAATAAAATAACAGTTTATGTAAAATATATAGCATCTTCCACAATTAGTTTACGGAAATGTAAGCTAGATTTACCTGACACGTTAATAAAGTTTTTATCTTTATCTTATCTCTTTTCTAAATCCCTGTCATGTCTGATTTTGTGTTTGAACTTGTACAACTTTTCTCCATCCTGTCTGTTAATTTAAGAATTTTTGATTTTCAGTGAATGGGAAAAGGAAATGTCTGAAGCTGAACAGCAAGGAAAAGATCCCAGCTTTCTGTCAGCATTAAGGAGAACCTTTGGTGTTGGCTATTCTTTGTTAGGTCTTGTAGCACTTGTGCGTGTAAGTTTGACTCCCTTTTGATGTACTGCATTAATACTATTGTTGACAACTATTTACCATTGCTTAAATAATATTTACTCATAACCCATTTATGCTCTATATACTGGTGTCTCCCCTTGGGTGATTTTTTTTTATAATGTACACTGTTCACCATCTGATATGAACTTACAGGACATTCTCAAAATAGCGGGACCTATCTTCTTGGGCCAACTTGTACGTTATTTTGTGGATGATTCTCCCATCTCAACAAGAGATGCTTACCTTTATGCTATTGGTTTAAGCTTGTGCTCTCTTACGTCAAGTTTGTTCAATGCGCCTTTCACCTTTATGTCTCAAGTTTACGGCATGAGGATAAGAGTGGCATGCACTGGTCTTGTATATAGAAAGGTGGGTGCAGTGATGGTCCAGTGTAGTTGTTAATCCAATGTGTCCTTACTCAGTTTCTCTCAATGATTTATTTGTGATTGAACCATTAGCTCTTCTATTCTTTAACTATTAAATATATATTTTCTACATCAGTCTCTTAAACTTAGCATTGCTGCCCTTCATGGTACAACTACAGGCAACATTGTAAACCTGATATCCAGTGATACTCAGAAGTTTGATTGGGTATGTTGATGTAAAACAGCTAACAATAATAAGACTATTTTGTGCTGATTAGATGTAGCAATTCTTCCATGTTTGCCGTTTTGGAGTTTGACCAATATTTGTTTTAGTTGTGGGTACAATTAATGCATGGGTTGTGGATGTGCACACATGTGCAGAGAATTGTGAAAATATTCAATACAAAATCAATCATCAATGATAATGTTCTAATTCCAATAAGTAGATTCTTCCACAAAAGAGAAAAGGGTATGATGCACAACAAATTGGTTTGAAAGCAATTCTTGCTTGAGGACATATGTGTCATGCTTCATCAGAGACTTTGTATAATCAATTAAAAGCATATTTTTCAATGATGTATGGGTATAATATTGCGATTAATATCTCCCTAATGTTATTCAGCTTTACTTAACCTTGTGCACAGCAGAATCCCTAATTATCAAATGAGTATATATCAGGGAAGTAGATAATAGTCGGAAGCCAGGAAAATTACCCCGCTGTGAACGCGATTTTTCCGGCTCTAAAGCACTACTTCTTTCTCCAAAATGTTTTTAAATGTTAATGTCAGCAGATTCTTATTTATTTATGTCGTTTGTTTACAACTTCATTGCTGTCTTACCTGAACTGAAAGGATTGTAAATAATCCATTTAGTGCGACGATCGCATCGTTCGCATTGCATCGTTCATTTTGCATTTTGTAACTCATGTATGCAAAATAATGAATGCCAAAGGCACACTAGCGTGGGCCTTCGGCCCAAATACCCGCCTATCATTGCTAGATTCCCGTCTGTTAAATTAAACTTAAGCTACATCCGCCTGGTTAGCTCAATTGGGAGAGCGCCGGACTGCTGTGTGGGAGGTCGAGAGTTCAATACCGGCCGGACCAACACTCAGGGTCTTAAAATTAATTGAGAAGAATATGCTTCCTTTCTTTAACATCAACAAATGGTTAGATATTCTAGTCTTCTCGGATAGGGACAAATAAATGGAGGTCCCGTCTCCTGCAGGGTTGGGATAGGAGACGTTAATTTCCCACGCACGAGATTACTGTGTGATGGATGCTCTCCCTGGGGTGGTTTGGGTGGGTAGGTGAAGTTGCTACGGACTAAACATGGCTGCCAGAGGCGCCTGTCTGATTTCAACCTTAAAATTGTAACTAAACACGTATGTTGTTAAGAGAAATAGAGACCTTTACCTTTACCTATACCTTTATCCTTGTATATTTCTCACACTTTGTTTATGTCAATTTGCTTTCAGACAGCACCTAATCTGCATTATTTAATTATTGGTCCAGTAATAGCTGTTATTGTCTTGGTGGTGCTTTGGTTACAAATCGGTCCATCAGCACTGGCTGGGATGGGGTTGATCTTGCTGTTAGCTACCATGCAGTTTAAAATGGGAAACACTCTCTTGTCATTCAGGTTAGCTCCTTGGGATATTGTCTACTGACATGTGACTTTTAAGTTATTACAGTAACTGTGATGAGTCATGTTGCCCAAAGAAACAGTCACATACATAGGATCAGAATTATAGAATATAGATAGGCAATAAAGTTTAAAAATCTTTATCACTCAACAGCTATTTGTTTCTGACAATAGCATAAAGACTTTGACCACGCAGGAAATGGATTGAAACGGTTTGAGTGACAACTTCAGAAGCATTGTTTGTTTCTATATAATGCAGACATTTTGTAGTCATTCAATATGTACCCAGTTTAAGTTGATTCAATCCAATCTTTCAAATATGTGATGAGTCCCAATTAGGGTACATTTTTTATTTGTTTTTACTCCTAGAACAAAAGCAATACACTGGATGGATGAACGAGTGAAAGTTATGAATGAAATTATTGCTGGGATGCGTGTCATTAAAATGTACACATGGGAAGACTCATTTTCAAATTGGGTGAGACAAATACGAAAGTAAGTTCCCCACTGTAGACTGCTATAATTGGTAATAATCTGCCTCTTTTTATTTCATATACAGTCTCCCTAAAAACACATTTATTTGAAGAAGTGTTGTATGATGTTTATAGTCATGATGTGCAACTGACTATCCATGTTCTTTATGAACTCCCTTGTGATGTGCATGCAGCTGTAGAAAGTTCTTCTTTTCTCTAATTAAGACTCTTGTGTTTACGAAAAAATCTGAAATTAAGATTTGCAGCACACAACCTATATTCCTGTTGAACATTCAGATGAATCCTTGTAAAACCTAAAAAGCCCAACTCTATGAGAAAAGATAGAAAATGATGTTTTACTCTTACGACCAACAGGGTTGGAGGACAAATAATTTGGTTTTATCTGTCTACTGTTTGTAATTAATATTTACTTGTAATTAGTTATCAAGAGTTGTAAATAATTTTTGCTCAATTAATTTTCTACTCGCAGAAGTGAACTTAAGTGGTTTCTGAAGTTGAGTTTCATTCAAGGAGTCTTCCAGTCATTTTTCTTTAGCTCATCAGTTGTCATCAGCTTTGTGACATTTATGGCATATGTCCTGACCGGAGAAGTATTAAAGGCACAAATAGTATTTACCTGCATATCTCTGTTCAACATCATGCGAGTTGTAATGGCCCTGCAGTTTCCAATAGCAATCACTCTGTTGAATGAATGCAGAGTGTCAGTGAAAAGGATGGAGGTTAGTGATGATAATTTCATGTCAAATTTATTTTATGTGAATAGAAACTTTCACCCAAACTTACTGCATGCAAATTGAGTATGGTATTGTTAGTTGAAAAAGTACTTATTTAATTGTCACATAACAAATTAGCCCAGAGTGGATGACCTGAAACAGGTAACAAATAAAACCACCAGAGAAAAGTAAACAAATGGCCAGTCATGAAAACAACACTTCTATTATTTTTCCGTATAAAAATTTGCTGGCTCCTCATGTGAGCTTATAATTATATAAGGCACATTGCACAGTCATGTAATATTATTTAATTTGCTGTCCAAAATTCTTACCCAGAGTTATCTGTTTGGTAACTCTGCAAATATCAATACACTGTATATACCTGCCACCTTTTCCGAGTCAAATGCGTGAGATTTTTGTCTCCTCATGACCGGAATTTCCAAAGATGTTCCAGCAACTTCCAACAATTAATCAAAGACTTCCAAATGCTACCGAATGTGTCCAAAGATGTTCTGGTGACTTCCGAACATGTCAGAAGCTATTTGAAGCAACATTAAGGGCAGTTTGTTGGAACATCTAAGGGGAATATTGGATTTAGTTTTTGTTGTAAGTGTGCTAAATAACAAGTCAACCCGATTTCCAAGTCAGGCACGAGAAATTGCCCTAAATGCATGAGATAAACGGCTTTGGTCCATGGGCTTGAGACTCACACATAATGCATGAGAGTTAGCAGGTATAACTGTATGTGAAAATCAGTGTGTACACCCCTGAATGTTGAAAACATATCAGACAGTCTTTTAGTTCTTATTTGTCATGACCTAACATTATCTAGCTCAGCTAGTATACACAAAAATTGAACATCATTTTAATGATGCACAATACTTAACTGTAATGAAAAAATACAATTATCACTTTGAAGGATATTCTTGTTATGGATGAGATGCAATCAGAAGGTCTTGTAACCTCAAAATTGAGGCCTAAACTGGAAGACTGCTATGTTGATGCCAAAAATATCAAAGCTCTTTGGAATAAGGTATAGAGACAAGGAAATATCTCAATTGGTCTTTAAAGGCAAAAATAATATACAGTCGTGTAGTTATTCTTAACCAGAACATTAAGAAGAATAAGTCAATTTACTGCTTCAATCATTTTCTTATCCCAGCGGATAGTTTCCACATTACCTGAGGCTATCTTTAATCACTTTTGCTCACTCATAGACAGCTGATCATGAAATGTTTGACATATTTCTCCCAACCCTTATTCAAGCATGTTGTTGTTCATCATAATTTATTGTATGGTTTCATTTTTCAGAACTTACAATCTCCAACTTTAGACAACGTTACCTTCAAAGTGTCAAGTGTAAGTAGTTAAAGTGTATTTATAAGTGTCTACATGTGAGTGTGGACATCCAGGGTCGCCTATTGAAACAAGGTCTGATTAATTTGTCCTATTCTGGGCTTGCGGCTTTTGACAATCAATGGAATTTGAAAGTGCTTGCAAGTTTTTTGAAGTCATAACATTGATCTCTCTTTTTGTGCCAAATCGAAGCCCCAATGACAGTTTTGTAAAAACTTAATGATAACGTGGTGTTTTCTGCTTGATGTAACATTGTTTAGAGTGCGGTTTGGATTAACAGGGGTTAAACTTTGCTTTTCTAGAGTTCCTTGTTGTTAAATTAAATACTTTTCATTTTTATGTAGGGTGAGCTGCTGGGAGTGATTGGTGCTGTTGGATCTGGCAAGGTATTAATTATTCATTCGTTTCTCACAATTCAAACTCCTCTCAACCGTTTTCTTACAATCTCTTTTTTCCTCATGAAGGGGGAAACCCAGCTAGGACATGTCCCATACACGTGCCCTGCTTTATAAGGTACCATGTCCTTGTTGCAGTCATCCTCCTCCAAAAATTATGTGGTTATATATACCTCAACCTTATAGCTGCATGTAACCAATCACATCTCAATATTAACCTTTTTCCATCAGTCCTCCCTGCTGATGGTGATACTGGGTGAACTTCCCTTGACGGAGGGCTCTGTAACAGTCAAAGGAAAAGTTGGCTACTCTTCACAACAGGCTTGGGTGTATAATGGCTCACTACGGCAGAACATACTCTTTGGGCAGAGCTATGACGAGGACAAATTTAAAGAAGTCACTAAAGCCTGTGCCTTGGATAAGGTAGATGTGCAGCGTGCTGTTGGTTTCCTTTTTAAACAAGTTGTTCTTTTTTGTTTTCTAAAAATATGATTTCTTTTCCATCTCACTGAATTGTTTGGTCTAGCTGATTCATTTCAGAAGTTCCCAAGTTCAATTCCTTAATAATTTATGTTTACAGTGGCTTAATGCGATATTTTTACAGTTTTAATCATTCCATGCCACTTAGGATATTGAATTGCTCCCAGATGGTGACATGACATTAGTAGGGGAACGGGGAGTGTCTCTGAGTGGAGGTCAAAGGGCAAGGGTCAACTTGGCAAGGTAGGAGTAGAGTAGACATCTATATTTATATAGGATAGCCCCTTCAGTGAAGTAAACACTGGTATCAACGGGGGTCCTGTTACCCACCCATCCAACCCCAGCGGAGGACATCCATCACACAGTAATCTCGTGCGTGGGAAATAAACGTCTCCTACCCCTAACCCTGCAGGAGACGGGACCTCCATTTATTCATCCCTATCCGAGAAGACTAGAATATCTAATCATTTCTTGATGTTACAGAAAGGTAGCATATTCTTCTCAATTATTTTAAGACCCTGAGTGTTGGTCCAGCCGGGGCTCGAACCCTCGACCTCCCGCACAACAGTCCAGCGCTCTATCCATTGAGCTAACCGGGAGGCGGTATGACATAAATGTAAAAGGAGTAGTTTAGGGGGCCTTTCTGGTAATTCCGTAGAGGTCTGGGTCCGAGTTGCTCGGCCGAGTGGTTAATTTATTCATGTAGCGTAGGTGTACGAGGTTAGGGTTAGGGTTATAAGGGTTATTATGTTTATTAGGGTTAGGGCTATTAGGGTTAGGGTTTTTAAACCTTAGCGGTTTTCTTAAAACAAAAGAATCCAAGATGGCGGAGGGATTAACTCAAAACAAAAGAATCCAAGGTGGCGGCGGGATTAACTCAAACACACTGATTTGCACATTACAATTTTTATATTCACACAACGTGGTATTTGATTTGTAAATAGGTGACATCAGCTCGAAAAGATGTCATCATGTCTGTGTACAATTGATGGAAAGTAGAATGTTCTCCCACGTTGGAATCATAGGTTTCAAGATAAAATGAATATTCAAAAAAACGTTCATTTTAGAATGAAAGGAAAAGAAATTGTCGTGACCAGGATTTAAACCTTGGTGGAATTATAGGTTTATGATAATTCCGCGCGGTCTGGGTCCGAGTAAGTCGGCCGAGTGGGTTCTAATTAAATATTTATACGGCGTAGGTGCGCGAGGGGGGTTTTAGGGTTGTTGGGGTTAGGGTTGTTGGGAAGGCTAGGGTTAGATTTCACGTAGGTTCGTGTGTAGGGTTTTTTCGCATCTCATTTTAAAAAATAACGGTACAAAAAAGTACAATAGGAACAAAAGAATGTAAGATGGCGGAGGGATTAACTCCAATACACTGTTTTCGCATACGCAATGTTTATTGTCACACAACACAGGGAAAAGAGGATAGACCCTATATTACGCGTTTGGGTATCGCGGGTTAGAGATACTAATCTAACCGACTAAGACAGTCTTCGAAAAGAAGAGAAAGCAGCAAGCAAAGAGAACTCGTCCTTATAAGCTAAAAGAGAAAATCCCAGCTCCCTTCTTTACTACCAGAAACGGCTGTAGACCACATGTCTGCAAAGACAGGTCCATTGAACACAGTGGTAGAATCGAACACAGAGGTGTCACAGGTAACACCCAGAGAGTTGGGATGATAGAAGTTTCTAATAACGGGGAAATAGATGGACTAGCAGATGATGTACATTTCTAAACTTAGCATGGTCAAAAATAAAATTCGACAAAAATTGTTTACAACATGATTTTATTTTGTCTTTGTTTCGCGTAGACATACACGCATGCTATGCCCCTACTACAGTGGTTACACAGTATTCATTTCCTCCTCTTTTTCATCATCATCATCATCATCATCGCTTTCATCCAATAACGGTTTTTTGATCAGACGATTCAATAGGAATTTTCTCCTGTCCACGGCAGCCTCTAATGCCTCCTCCCAATCCATGCCGTCTCCATTCATCAATCGTCGAGCGGTATGCATGACTTTCCTATGTATTTTATCCTGTCTAATACGGTTATACCACTTTAGACGATGCAAGTATAACCTTCTCAACTTACGCCTAGCTAAAGGTAAGAACGAATTGTCATTTTCGGATGTCCCCACTTTTTCCTGTTCTTCTTCTTGTTCAGCCAAAGTTGTTTTCATATCATCTTTCACTTCCTGTTTCAATTCTGACAACGGATTCACACCGACATTGTCGTCACCATCATCGTCACCGTCATCCTTGTCTTCATCTTCACCTTCATCATCATTGTCTTCATCATCTGTGTTTTCAGGCTCTTCATCTTCTTCTAGTGGTTCGCCAAAGACATCTAGATCCTGAGAATTATCAGTCATGGTCACACACGCACTATAAGTTTTCTTGATGTGTACTTGCTGGTGGTTGTTCCTAAATGATGTCTGACCAATGTGTAAGGCTGTTTTAAAGTTTCACTTTTCTAGGATACAATCGCATGCATCCTTCATGTGTCAAAAGATGACTGAATACGCGGTGAGCATCCTTACCAGCAGGATATAAATCCAGGGTGATATACCCATATGGTCGCTGAGTTGCCTCACAATACACATGCATAATATCTTGCCATTCCATGGGATAGGCTTGTAACAATAAATTTTTGAAACCCATTTGATCACGTCGGTTTTTGAAAGCAACCACGTAATGTGCATTTCTTGAAATACTTTTTGCATATTTGCCAGGTGGAAACATATCTTGACAAAGATAGATAACAGTAATGTTACGATGATGAGAATGTTTGGTGAAAAGGTCTAACACTTCTTTATCGTCTCCTCCTTCAGTCATAAGATCATCCATGACCAGTATTCCACCATCTTTAGGGAACCATTGCTTTAACTGTTCTTCATTGGGTAGGTTATCGTGAAATTTTATACCATGTTGATGCATCTCACGGTATCCATCTTGCCAAGCACCGTAACAGTAGTGAATGACGGCAGGGGGTGATGTAAACAATTCATCCAAGTGTTGTAGCAGTAATGATATGGTGAAGCAAGTTTTACCGCATCCAGAAGGCCCCACGATTAATATGCTACTGGGTGATTTGAATTTGAATCCCTCACACCACCTTTGTGATAGTTCGAACGACTGAGTCGGGTCTGTAGTCACGGGTGGAATGGAATGGATATCCACTGTTGAAGGGAACCATTTATTTGGATTGACCCTTGAGTTCACGCATGAATTTTTCTCGTGACGCTCTTTATTATTCGAACGCGTGAATGTTCTATTGCAGTAGCGGCAAAGGTGTGGCATTATCCGATCAGAAGTTTATCAAGGTAACACGACTCCCATTTCGTGTCACAGCGATACTAATGAAAAAATGTAAGTTTCTCTGCTTTTTATGTATTATTGTCTCACCACTTTCCCTAACCTATCACCGCCTCATACACCACTAACACCCTCTTCACACGTGTGTAAGATATCTTTGTTCTCGCCAGATTTTGAGAATGTGTCTAACTTGGCACAGAGTTGATCGTATTTTTTCTGTAATTCAATCAATTCAGTTTTCACCCGTGTGTGGTGAGATATCTTGGGTGTCTTTTCTTTCCTGCCTTCCAGTAGTTGTCGCTCACTTTGTCGCTGTTGTAGCAAGGTTTGATATTGTTCTTTGTGTGCGGTAAGATTCTTTTCAATCTCTTGAATCGCTTGATTTAAGACCGTACATTCTACTTGATGGTATGCTTCATTAACACGTTTCTGAGCTTCAGGACTTCGCATCTTGGGGTAACTTTTCATTGATTTCAATCTTTTTGGGATCGATCCATTCTCAGCATGTTTTTTATATTCCTTCAACACATTTTCCTGATACTTTACGCGAGCATGAACAGCATGCATTTTTTGTCGATACGACTTTAGAACCGCGGAAAGATCCTGAGTACTCGCCATCGTCCGCACTCTGCGTGAGCAGGTAAGAAATGAGTGTGGAAGTAGTCACTTCGAGTTTTATCTTATTGTATACATCCGTCTCCGTTGTGTCTATCAAACTTGAAAAGAACGCGCACTTTAAATATTAATTATAATAATTCAAAGTGCGCACTCATATAGAACCAAATGTTTATTTTTCTTTTATGCGAAACGGAACTGTCCATCTCGTTCATGTGGGATCGTATATTTTCTATTCCTTTTCCTCCTCCTCCTCTTTCCTCCTCCTCATTCCTCTTTCCTCCTCCTCATTCCTCTTTTCTCCTCCTCATTCCTCCTCCTCTTTCCTCCTCTTCCTCTTTCCTCCTCCTCTCTTCTCCTTCCTCATTCCTCCTTCTCCTCTTTCCTCCTCCTCCTCTTTCCTCCTCCTCCTCCCCATTCCTCTTTCCTCATCCTCCTACTCCCCCTCCTTCCACCTCCTCTTTCCTCCTCTTTCTTCCTCTTTCTTCTACTCATCCTTCCTCCTCCTCTTTCCTCCTCCTCCTC